TCAAAACGGCCTCGAGCTCAATAAAAATTGTTGAATATAATTATTATAAGGCCATATAATAACAAAAACAAATAACTTAAGGACACCTAAAAGTTGAACATTCTAAAAATAGAATTATTAACAAAAACCAACAACCACATGATCAAGTGTAAATCGTGGCGGAATAGCTGCGCTTGATTGTGTTGGCTTAGCAAATGAAAAGAAGTCTGATGAGGAAATGTTGTGATTTCCGAAATAGCTATCACTTCTACCATTTTTTCAAATTATTGTTGCTTTTCCACAATAAGTTTTTCATTAAAAACGGCCTCGAGCTCAAAAAAAATTGTTGAATATAATTATTATAAGGACATATAATAACAAAAACAAATATTAAAAATATGAATACAAATACTTGTAAATATCATGAAAATTCTATGATATGTGCTGAAAAAAATGTAATAATATTAATATAATAAATGTATTTCTTCATTAAATATCTAATAATAAATAAAAATAAATAAGTAATTATAAAACTTTATTTTATTTCAAATTAATTTTTTTTTGTTCTCATCAACAACATCAGCAGACCTTTCCATTCATATGTGAAAGATTAAAAGATTTCGTATTATTTTTTAATTTGTTAGACGTTCGGTGACTCTTTTGAATTTAATAAATTTGTCTTTCAATGAATATAAACGAGAAAAACAAGTATCTTAATCTCGAAACGATGTATTATTAATATCTCCTGCTTTCTATATCAAAATATGAGTTTTCATAAAAAGTATGCTTAACCACTTTTCTCACTAAGTTAGCAATATATGAATGAATAATGCTAGATGAAAAAACATTTAAATAGACATATACTTTTATAAGCATTTTTTTTTATATATTTATGTGGTATTCGTTATCGTCCACTTGGCGTTACTATACTTATTAGGCAAACAATGATGATGAAATAAAGATCAAGGCTATTTATAATATTAGGATTTGATTTGAATCATATAATAAAATTTAAATAGGGTAATAAAAAATAAATATATTCTTTGACAGCAACATTGAGTTCAAGATTATTTCCACATTTTAATTGAATTATATTATGAAGTATAAAATAGATTACTAAAATATATGTATATTTAAATATGTTCTTTATCAACAGTTTACCTCAATGCTTTTTATATAGTTATGAAATGTCTATAAATAAGCTAATACTGTACATTAGAAATTATTACTTTGTTTAAAGATACTTATAAAACACAACATGCCTGGAATCAATCGAATCCTCAATGGCGAGCATCATGGAGAGTACAACTTCGATTTCGAATTGGAATGTTGTGCTTTGAAGACATGAAAAACCCTTATATATGTATTGAAGAAGGTTTTGGGCATTCCAGTCAGAGCAGCCCATGTTTTTTTAAACAAAAAATGGGATGAAGAGGATGACAATGGAAAATTCCTAACCGTTTGTGGCGGGGAAATTGAGGAGTACATAATGGAGCAACATCAAAACCAACATGAATATGAAAGAAGGGGTTTAGATATTAAGACTAAATTAAAGTATTATTGTAGAACAAATAGGGAAGCGATGTATTATATAGAAGTTTATTCTAAATCATATAATAACATTGTATTTGAATATAAATTAACTTTTGAATTGGTACTTAGAAATTTAAAATTTAATTATATAGAACCATAGATTTATTTAAAAAAAACTTCAGCGTTTATTTGAATATAATATTATTTTATATGAGATATATTTATGAAAAAAGGTTTATTCATAAATCGTTAGTCGTTGGAAAAGGTTTTATAAATAATATAATTAATAAGCTTCCTATTGAACTTCATTTGCCTAGTTATCAATTTTGTGAACCTGGAACGAAACTACGGAAACTTTTAGTAAGAGGAGATCGAGGGATTAATCTACTAGACACTGCTTGTAGAGAACATGATATATCATATTTATATAATAAAGATTTAGATAACCGACATATTGCTGATAAAAAATAAATTGAGAAGGCTTGGGAAAGAGTTAAAGCGAAGGATAGCAATCTTAATGAGAAAACAAATGCTTGGTTAGTTACAAATATAATGAAGACAAAAACGAAATTCGGTATTTGGAACATTTATAGTAAAACTAAGAAATTGGGAGGAAAAACTGGTTATTATCTCTTCAAACATGCTTTAAAAAGTGCTAAACAAAATTTAAAGAAAAGTGATAACTTAAAAGATGCAATAAAAATTTCACGAAAGGTTGTAAATAATATTTTTAGAGGAAAAAAATCTATAATAAAAGCACCACGTGTAATACCATTACCTAAATCTGGAGGATTTCTCCCATTAGCGCCTTTATTCGTA